TAAATATATTTTTATTGGTTTCAGAGAGGAAGAGAGAGAGAGAGAGAGGGAGAGAGAGAGAGAGAGACATTAATGAGAGAGAATCATCGATCGGCTGCCTCCTGCACGCCCTCTACTGGGGATGAACCCACAACCGGGGCCTATGCCCTGACCAGGAATCGCACCAGTGACCTCTCTGTGCATGGGACGATGCTCAACCCACTGAGCAACACTGGCCAGGGCTCTTATATTATTTTAATATCAAATTTGAACCGAATGCTAGAGGCAGAGTCCAGGGTCTAAATACAAAATTTTGCAAAGGTTTTGCTTGTTTGATTTTTAAATTCCACCTCTGGAAACTGGAGGATACCCTGCAGGCAAGACTGTCCCTGCGGACTTAAACACTCCCTGAGGAGTTTCTAGAATTTCCCCGAGCCTTCCCTGGGGAACATAATTAACATGAACTATTTGTGTATTAAAGGGACTTTAATACTCGAGCACAATTACAGTCCAACTACTGTGCCTTCCAAATGTTAATTAAAAGTAATTACGCTGAAAAGTTCATGACCGTGAGAACGACTGCCCGGGTCATTTCTAATTTGGGGCCTGTCTCCTGCCCCCTTATTTGGGTCCTGTTCTGAAAGGGGGTCCGTTAGGACCTGAGCCCCCGGGAGGGGGCCCTTCTGTCTTTGGGGATGAAGGGCGGTTTTGATCACGAAGCCCCGCCCCCTCATTTTCCCAGTTCAGCGCCTCGGGCTGTGGGAGCAAGAAGTTCTGTTGCGGAGCCCCTCGGCCTGCGACCCAGAGAAGGAGGGCACCTGCCTCTTCCTGTCCTTCACGCGGGATGACCAGTCGGTGACGGTGGAGATGAGCGGCCCCAGCAAAGGCTACCTGTCCTTCGCGCTTTCCCACGACCGGTGGATGGTGGGTACCTCTCACTAATCCGTGGGGTGACATTAGTCCGGGGTGAGCTCCTCGCAGTGGCGGGTCAGCTGTTTGTTCCAGGTCAGATGATGGCACTTGAGGGAGGGGTGGGGAGGGAGGGCGGGTGCTGAGGCTGAATGAGGCCTGTGTGCTGTGGTTTGTCGATTCCTGGTGTCATTCATGGCGACTCCATATTTCTTATCTTGAGCTGGGCTAATTCCGAGTTGAATGTAAGATTAACGGGTTGTTCTTGGGTCTTCTTTAAGGAGCTTAGCGACCAAGGCCCATAAAATACCTTGCTAGGTAGTTGAGGGGGAGCGATTTAGAATAGGCGAAAGAACCAAATCTACGCACAGTAACGTGAAATCCAGAAGATTCGCTTGTCCCTTAAAATGATGCCATGTGCTTTGAAGATGCAACCTGCCCTTTGGTAGTAATTGAAATGAGATCCTGAGTTTAGAGAATATTAGAGATGAAAGGAAACATGAGAATCAAACCGGCAAAGAATGCCTCCCTGAGCTCAGACGTTGTGGCCTCAATACGTAACACTTAACCTACTGGGTGTTGAATGTGTACAATATTAGCAATATTTGATTACAGTGCCTTCCATCTTGAAGGCTACCCCTCCAAAACCGATATAATATAGCACATTTACAGTCATGAAAATGTTCAAGACATAGATATATATATTTACAAACAAGTATCCAGAATAATATTCATGATAAATTAAAGCAGGTAACAAAACTGTATTTTTCTATTTGGAGAGAGAGAAAGATATAGGTATAAATATAAATAGATTTGGATGAATATATATGAAAGCATTAACCGTGGTGTTCAATTGGGGATGGGTTTATGGGCATATAAACATGTCAAGTCTATTTTAGCCTGTTTTTTATAATGAAATTGTATTGCTTTCCTATTATAACAAAATCATATTGATTCATAAATCAGACAGCCATAGTACCATTGAAGGCTGCCAGTAAATTATTTAAGAAGACCAAATACTATTTGATTTTTATTAAGGACTTAAAAATACAGCGTTGAACTTCCTTTAGACTCTTCTCCTTTCCCATCATTCTCCAGGGCGACGATGACGCTTACCTGTGTATTCATGAGGACCAGACCGTGAGCATCCGACCCGCCCACCTGATGGGGCGGAGCCACCCGGCCCTGGACTCCTGGGTAGGTGTCAAAGTTCTGGGAGCCTCTACCTGGCCCGCCCGCCCTCCGGCCACGTGGCTCACAGCAGCACGTCTGTGTGGCAAGGTGGCCTCGAACTGCAGTTCGTCGGGCCTGAGCAGGGGCCTCGCCGAAGGTTTCCTCCCTCATAACACTCTGGGAAAGCTTTTCTGCACTTTCCCCTTTTTTTTTTTTTACTAGATATACTTATATATTTAATAAAGTTTATGTGTATTTAAAGTGTGCAACATGATGTGTTTTAAAAAAATGTTTTGATTGATTTTTTTTTTGAGAGAGAGAGGAAGGGAGAGGGAGCGAGAGAGAGAAACATCAATGATGAGAGAGAATCATGGATTGGCTGTCTCCTGCACGCCCCACACTGGGGATCGAGCCTGCAACCCCAGGCATGTGCCCTCGACCGAGAATCAAACCGTGACCTCCTGGTTCCTAGGCCGATGCTCAGCCACTGAGCCACGCCGGCCGGGCGCGATGATTTGATATCCATACACACAGTGAAATTCTGTGCCAAACCGGCTAGGGCTACTTGCTATTGTTTGTTCAATGTTTTTGATTGTTAGTGGCCAGATGGAGTTTTTATGTCTGCCAAAGTTTCTCTCCTGGGGAGAGGAATTTTGGGGTTTTGACTCAAAGCAAAAATAATACTTTTGCCAAGTGAGATCAAGACAGACTGGGAGGTAGTGTTTGTTGTACTCTTTGAAGGGGAAGTGGAGAAGCAAGGCCAGCGCAGACCAGACGTGCACAGAGGGTCTCAGAGAAAGGAGCTTGGACGGGCAGGACTGCGATCACATCGGGTTTTAGCAAATCTTGGGGAAGCGCTGACGAGACCCACTGTGTGCTTGTAGGACGCCCTCGAGGACATGGCCTGGAGGTTGGAGGATGGCGGGATGCAATGTTCTTTCAGAAGAAACATCACCCTTCCTGGCGTTAAGAATAGATTTGACCTAAACACAAGCTACTACATATTTCTAGCAACTGGTGCAGCCAAGGATGGTAAGTACTATGTATTGATAAAAACTCCCTTTTCAAGATTTTTTTCTTCTCTCTCTTCTCCCCTCCCCCCCATTTTAAAAACATTTACACTTGCGGGTAAAGAGTTATCAAAACCCTCTTCCATCTTGCCTTCCCTTTTGACCTTGGTTGGCCTTTAAGCTTCGTTTCCCTAGAAACTAGGCAAAGTTAGGGTCAACTATGCTATAAGGCTACATGCTCACGATGGAAGTGAATTTCTGGCTGGTAAGCAGCATTTGGGCCAGGTATAAGAAGCCGGAAGAACGAGGAAAGTCATTTTATAAATATCTAGGGAGACCATTGCTCTTCTGCTTTTTATTGTTAATGTTTGGTTTTGTTGCATTTTGGATAGATGATATACCTGGTTTCCTATAAAGTTACATCTTTTTGGAAATTATTGCCTTGTAGTCTGTGGTCTAATATGTATTTTTGTTTGGGCCAAAGATATATAGTGTGTGTGTGTGTATATATATATATAATCAAATTTCTTAATTATTTTTATTCTTTTTGGTATACATTGTATTCTAAAAATAATCTATGCTCCATAATTTATTTACTGATTCTCCTGATGATGACCATTCAGCTTGTTTAAATTTTTTTGTCTAGCATAAAACAAATTTCTGTCAACATTCTTGTACATATACCTTTGGGTAAAGGGTATTTCTGTAGGGTAGATTCTCAGAAGGTAGGGATTCACACACACCCATACTCACGAATACAAACTAACAGGAATAACTCTACATTTACAGACTTGAAGTTATACATAATGAACAATAATATGATAATCCAAAAAAAAAAATATGATAACCCATTCTCAAACTGTGCACATCACTTTTCTTTGGAATTTTGGTTTGTTAGTCAAACCCAGTCCCAATCGATCAATGCCACATAATAGAGCATTGAAATGTGCTTGTCTTTCTCTCAGGCCCAGTTTCTGTCGGTTTAATCTAGAATTCTAGATTATTTTTCATATGTATTCTCTTTCAAGAATTATCCTTGCCATTTTCAATCATTTGTGGTCGTATTAACGGTAATTATTTGGATGAAACATTGTTTGTGGGTGTCTCACTGTAAGTCCCACCTTCCCAGCCTCATGTCTTGGTTGGCTAAATTATTTCTTTAGTTTTTCCCCCAATAAGGTCACGTGACCCTGCATCTGGGTTTAGGTTGCTTTTGCATATGAATGGCATCTCTGTTGATATTTATTTTCTATTATTTTAAGCAGTTTTGTTTCCAGGTCCTGACACAGTCTTTTCATTCCTTCTCTTCTGAGGAAGTAATTCTTCTTCATCTTTTTTTTTCTTCCTGCTTTTTTATAATTTCAGGTCGAATTTATAGACACTCCCAGCAGCCTCTGATTACATATGAAAAACATGCCGTGACAGGTGATCCGCAGGACGTGGGAGCGTCTCGGGCCCCGCCCCTGCTGCGGGCTCATGGTGAGCTGCTCCCTGTGTGCGCGCTGCATCCTCACTCCGCCCGTAACCTTACCCGGTGCTCGGTGCTGGCTGGGGTAGGAGTCGTGGCGGACAGAAGTTAGCAGCTGTGTAGAAATCTCTGTGTGACCATTCACACATGCAGGTAGCAGTATTTCCCTTTCTGTAAAAAACATTTAAAAATATTTTTATTTTTTAATACGTTTTTATTGATTTTAGGGAGAGAAGAAGGGAGAGAGGGAGAGACATAGAAACATCAATGAGAGAGAAACATTGTTCGGCTGCCTCCTGCACGGCCCCCCACCGGACATTGAGCCTGCAACCCAGGCTTGTGCCCTGACAGGGAACTGAACCCGCAACCTTTTGGTGTGTGGGACGATGCTCCAATCCACTGAGCCACCCGGCCGGGGCACCTATTGGTTTTTCACTGGTTTTTGGAGTGAGAGGTGAGACAGTTCCAAGGTGACTCGGGCTGTATTAGCACAATGGTTAAGGGTACAGCTGCTCAAGCCAGGATGGGCTCGACTTACATGGCGTCTCTGTGCCTTGGTTTCCCCATCTGGCAAAACTGGAATAATAATAATTGTAATCACTTCATCGGATTGTGGTAAAGATCCATTAGGTTAGTTCACGGGGAGCCCTTAGAGACTGCGCCTTGCACATAGTAGGGCTATGGAAGTGTGAGCTGTTAGAAGCAGTCGTGGTGAGAGTGAAAGCTGTGATATCCGGGTGTTTTGAGGGTATGCCATGGCAGTTGAAGGTACTTTGCTGGTGGTTTCTGTTTTCCGAGCACGTGGCGTGGTCGCTGCAGGATAGCGGGCTGAGTTGGTGATGTCACCACCGCATCTTCCCGCAGGGGCCTTGATGCTCGTGAGCTGGATGACTACCGTCAGCGTGGGTGTCATCGTTGCCCGGTTCTACAAGCCCGTTCTGTCCAGGCCTCTCTTCGGCGAATCCGCCTGGTTCCAGGTAGGCGGGAGGAAAAGGTTCATGCGGTTTCGTACTAGCTGTACGTTGCAGCAAGAAAACACATGAACTATGTGGGTTCCTTTCCCTTTGTGTGTGTGTGTGGCATAGTTTTGTGGTTTCGGGATCCTAATCATTTCTTCTTCTTGCCCTTTGGTTTCCTAACCAGTTGAGAACAGACACAAGGTCCTTGATAGAGGTCACAACAGAGGCGGCTTTAGGCGGGGCTCGGGCGGGGTTGGAGGACGTGCCAGGGCCGCGTGCCTCCCTGTGTGACGTAGACTTTGGGACCCGCAGGACCCTGACCTGCATGTCCAGCTGCACCGAGCACAGACGGGCAAGGAAGGCAGAGGGCAGGGAGGGAAATCGCAGGGGCTTCCTGCGTGTCCACAGGGGTCTGTCCTCCGGGTGCTGTGCCAATCCGCGTCAGACTCTCCGGTCAAGGTCATCTGTCTCCTCTGGGGGAGGATCGGAACTAGAAGCGTTTCTTTTCATGTTGCCCCCTTTGTCTGGGATCAGGAGGCGAGAGTCAGTTGGTACCCCTCAAAACAAAGCAGAACACACCTTATCTTTCGTGTGTCACATGTCAGGTGTCAATCAAAAGCATCCCTTCGGGGAATCTCATCCCATGGTCTTGTCCCCATGGTAACACCAAGTCCTTTCTCTGGCTCAGGTAACTCTCTTCTCACTGTCATTTCACCCTTGCAGGTGCATCGGGCGCTCATGCTAATTACTTCCTCCCTCACCTGCATTGCTTTCGTCCTGCCTTTCATTTACCGAGGAGGCTGGAGTAGCGTAAGTACCTCTTACACTGGGTGGTTTCATTTAAATTCACTTGAGCGTCAAAGGAGATTGATGTTTTATTCTCAGAGGATGGGCAAACAGATATTTCTGTGTGTGGGTGACACACGTTACTGGTGTCTCTGACCCTCAGTTCCCCCGTTTTTAAAAGTGGGTTATTTATAACCAAGTGTGGAGCATGAGAGTGTGTGCAGTGTGTGCCTGGTGTGAAGGAGATGCTCAGTGACTGGTGCCTGTCATCATTATCATCATTGTCACCACCATCACCACCACCATCACCACC